CGTGATTAAAGTAGGTTATGCTTGCTCTGCAGATATACAAGATTACTGTACGTGAATCGTACATATTGCCAATTTAAAAAAGAAAAAAACAAACGATAATACAATGATAGATATCTGAAACTTGTTAAAGTGCTTGATTAGAAAATGTTAAAACATCTTCTGATTCTACTATTTACATTGGTTTGCATTTGATAACTTAATATGATATGTTCTCCGTAACGACACTGAGAAGACGTTACAATTACAAATAATTTGATATATTAGTTATACCTGTGTATCCTAGGTAGGCTCCTATTTATTTACTTAATTGTTTTCACAAAATATGTTTCTAATAGTTAATTTTGATGTTGTAATATTTAAAAAAAATGACATTTATGTAATACACATAGTTTTTTGATGCTTCGAATTTGATGAAACTTTTTTTTTAAAAACAATAATTAACTCTTAAAATTTCAACTAATATATCTTTTCACATTTCAAGAGTACATAAGTTTACAATTTTGATACAGTATGATGTAACAAATAATGTTAACAACTACATTTACTAAGAAAGTAGCCTTTTCATATGCTTTAGAAAAATTTATAAAGACTTATTACTGATTAAACGTTCGTCAGTAGAGCTATATATATAGTACAGAAGGTAAGGTATTAGATTTCATTACATAATTACTACATTGAGTTGTACACTAGGTTGCTCAGTTTACCCGTACTAACGTGACACGCATTATTTTTACGTGTAATGCTAAATTTTCATAATGTTAATCTCAGTTTAGTTTTAGTTTATAGGTTTGACCTAAAGATATTATAACCGAATAACAGCAATTTTTTTCTGTTTTGATTGATGAATATTATAATAAATTATTTATATGGCTGTTGCATACTTTTATGATATATAAAATATCAATGTTTTGCTGCAAACCTAGTTTTACCAGATTGTCTGGACCTTGCTTGTTGCAAAATGATGTAATCTAGGGTGCTCCCTAGAATTTATGATTGATAAGAATGATATCAGTGGATGTGTCCACAATGTTTTAATTGATAAAAAATGCTCAAATAATGATTATGATATTTGAATAACACAATAACATTCTCTTTCTTAAATGATACTTAAAACAAGAAATGATAGTTGACTCGTATGATAGAGCCAACAAAAATAATATCAGTGGATGTCTCCACAATGTTTTCAATGATAAAAAATGCTAATTGAATGATACATAAAGTAGGATGTCCCCACAATGCTATAATTGATACTTATATAGTAAATTTATTTATTTGTAATGTAGAACTTCTGCTACAAGTTACAAAAAATAATAATATATTGATATTAATGTAGATTGTCCCCACAAATGATATAATTGTTACTTAAATTCTAAATTAATTGATTTGATATGATATATATATGCTCACAGCAACATTGTTCGTCCTCCCTTAAAACGACAATTAACAAATAAAGACAGTTTCTTTATATTAATTATAATATTCTCCTTCTAAAACAACACTTCAATTAACAATCAATAAATGATAATTGACTTGTATGATAAAAGAACCTCAAAACTTCTTATGTTCCGCGATGTTAATTCTTGTATAAGGTCACGAAGTTGATACGGCTTGATTTTACCAGCGATTTAGCTGGTATTGATGTGGATGCTACTTCTTAACTGACCTAAACGCACCGAATGATGATAATTTTGTTCCTGTTGTTGTAAATTATTGCGATGACTTGCGCTCCATGTCGTGTCTTCGCAGAGTAATCGAGTGGCCTTGCTAAGATGCTAAGCTGCTATAAAGCAGCTTTCGTTTATTTATATGCATCACAGTGTATGCGCCTTCTCAATTCAGCCGGTGAGACCCGCTTGTGGGAGGCCGGGTGAATCGATTCGCCACTGTCAAAAATATTGCTTGATAAAAAAATATATATTATGATAGGTACCTTTGTGTTGTCGATATCCATGGCCAGGTTACACAGGAACAGTCACTGTCGCGAATTGATCCCGCTTTTCCAAGCTAGGAGGACAGGTTCACATTTTGATAACTCGAAGGACCAAACTGTAGGGGTGACCCCCTACCTAATAATATTAGGATAAAGGAAGAAAGACAAATGTTACTGTTGAATGCATGACGAGCATTGATTTATTATGCAAAGTTAAGTTTTATATAGGTAGGTACCTAGAACAATGATGTATTATGATGCATTTTTTTAGATACATACAGATACGTGATTAAAATAGGTTATGCTTGCACTGCAGATATACAAGATTACTGTACGTGACTCGTACAGTCACTATGGCTGGAAATAAAGAGAATCCTGGGTGCCATTCGCCTAACGGAAATGCTTTGGAAAATGCTAACGCTTTCGATTTCATTTTTTTATTTCTGACCGCCGAAGGTTTTCAAATACCTCACGCTCATTATTTTTAATATTGTTATTACCAGCACAAACGAAAAAAAGGGCGCGAGGCATTTGAAAACCTCAGGCGGCTAGAAATAATAAAATGAAATCGTAAGCGTTAGCGTTTTCCAAAGCATTTCCGATAGGCGAATGGCCACCTGCTGTCATTAAAAAAATCATTGAAAATATGTGTAAATTAATGTGTTTTTGTGCTTAGTATCCCATAACACAAGCCTTATAGCGTCGTATTTATAAACAAAAACAAGTTTTTACTTTTTTGCTAAGTAACAAAGTCTTTATTTTGATAATAGAATTTTTGGCAACGAAAATGATGACTATTACTTGGTTATAACCGGCGGCAAAAAATTTAAATCGCAAACTTCGATCAACAATACTACAGATGTAGTCAGCGCGTAAAATCCGTCTCGGTAAATATAGCCTCATTTGAGGCGTGAGATCTTATTTTCAATTAGTTCGTTTAATACACAGCCAATGGGTCGGTCGATAAAAGGTCGTATGTACGAAATAACATATCTTTATTTCTTTCTTTATTCCTTTGTGATATGGTTGTTATTAGGTTCAACTTAAACTGTCTTAAAACATTTGTCTTTGTTTATTGGGAATCTAATGCAGCTGCATAATTATACTCTCGCGGACTGTTTTTAGTTTTGATTTTGTATCCAACCCGTTATCTATAGAATCGTTGATCGAAGATAGCAAATGACGACGTAAGACATTCTGTCCCTCTCGCACATGCTATCCTAAGTATCTGTGCGAAGGAAACAGAATGTCTCGCGTCGAAATTTTCGATTCCTTACTTTAATGGCACGAGTTAAGACCGAAACTTACTTATAAAACGCGACGCCACCCCACACCACGTGTATTTTCTATGGCACTTCGCGTCGCATCAATATTCCTAATATGATTCTGATCAGTGGCGGCGCTAGACCACATGTGGACGTCGGCGACATCAAGTTCGCGATGCCTATTTTACTTCGCAGTAAAAAACCGTTAAATTGAGTGAGTCAAATTATAAAATAACGTATGAGTAAACGAGTTTTATTGTTGATAATCAAATGATGACAAAAAATAATTACAAACATAGAAATTAAAATCGTCGAACTTTTCGGCTTTTAGCCTCACTGAATTTTTTCAAGATTGTGTCGTAGCTAAGACTAGCCGCTATTTCAGCTTCGATTGACAGAACTGACAACGCGGATAGTCTGTCTTGGCTCATCGTGCTTCTCAAATAGGTCTTTATCAATTTTAACTTTGAGAAGCTTCTCTCAGCGGAAGCTGTACTGACCGGAATTGTGAGCATGATTCTAATTGTAATGTAAACATTTGGATATATTTGTTCTAAATTATTTTCTAAAATGTGGATGAGTTGTTTCGCGTCGTTGATAGTCTAGTGAATTAGATTTTAAAAGCTGAAGTTCTTCATATAATTCGAAAGGCTATATGTCACTGTTTTCGCCTTCCCGAAGTATTGTACCTAAATCATTACAATGTTTGAGAATATCCTCTTTTTCACACTACCCGACCGACACGATATCGGTATCGGACGCTCATAATGAAGAGCACACACACACACACATTATGTTTGTATGTGTGCTATACGTGTAAACGCACGTATAATTTAAGATCTGTTTAAACCCATGAATGCAATAAGTAAATATGATAAATGACAATACAAACATTTTTACCCACTACAGAATATCGTGTCGGGTCGGGCAGTGAAAACGCTCATTCGTGCGAAACTTTCATTTCATAGTGTTGCCAGACAGACGATTCTGAATACCCGTAAAGTACTACTCGCTTCCACCACGCACGTGTTCGAAAATAATAAAAGTCATTATCATCTGCTTAGCTTTTACCCCGAATTGTTCGGGGTCGGCTACCTAAGGCCAGGAGAAACGAAAATAAATACGTAACTTGTAAAAATTTTTTGCGAGGCCGTCGGCGGTGGCCGACGTCGCCGACGCCTAGCGCCGCCATTCTGATTATAGAAAACAGCACATTTTGATTTGACTCATCACGCGTGGTGTGGCGTCGCGTTTCAGGGGTCTGTTTCGGCCATTCTCGTTTTTGACAGTTCTTACTTGTTGTATTTATTATGTATGAAATGAAAAATATTGCTCAGGTCTTTACTTAAGCAGAAGTTATGACTGATTCTTGTTTGTAAATACGACTAATAGTGCTTTCTTTGAGGCTTGGCTAATTTGGTCCGAGCGTTCGGAATATTTATTTATTAGAAACTAGCGGCCGTTCGGGACTTCGTACGCGTGGAGTAAGTTAGAAATAAAAGTTCACTGCTCATTCTCCGTAGGTGATAGCGTGATAATATGTAGCCTATATGTTGACCCGTCTTCTTAATAATATTCGTGCCAAATTTGAAGTAAATCCATGCAGTACTTTTTGAGTTTATCCCGGACATACATACAAACAAAAATTCTAAAAACTACATTTTTGGCTTCGGTATCAATTATAGATCACACCCAAATAATCCTTTTTAAAAAAATATTCAATGTACAGTTTTGGCTTTCCTGTCATTTTATTATATGTTTTAGAAATATTGATGTAATGATAATACAGAGCTATCGTTCCTCAGAACCTGATAAAAGAGGGTCTAGTGCTAATGGAGAGCTTGCGCGACCACCGCCTCAGCGGGCTGGTGAGCGAGTACCGCGCAGCGCAGGAGCACGCCAAGAGCTCGCGGCTCAACCTGTGGCGGCACGGCGACATCACTGACGATGACGCCGCCGAGTTCGGCGCGCGCCGCTAGCACCGACACCGCCCGCTCCCCCTCCCGCTGGCCCAGCGCCATCGCCCGCGCCCGCGCCCGCGCCCTCGACCCCGGCCCTGGTACGACGCCACCGCATTGCCGTCGCACACGCTCAACTGTGCCACCTGCACAGCACCACACATGGAAACCATCATATACGCTATCATCTACGACTTTCTGTGAAGGCAACAAAGACACTAAAACCATAAAAATAAACCTAAAGAAATAAACCTTGACAAAAGTGAAATTAGATATTTATTATATTATAATAATATAATATTATAGTTATTATGATTAAAGAAATTAAACAAAATATACCGCTTCATAGTTACAGCTATTGCTATATAAAGAATATGATTTGTGTGTGTACAATAGAAATGAAATTTTGTAATTATAATATTATATTAATATAGAAATTAACTCTTGTGTGCGAACAATCATGTTAACAGGGTTTTGACGTGAACATTGTCCGTATTCTTCATTTCCGCGTACTGAGATTTAGGGATTTTGCCGTCTGGATGCTAAATAATAGTATGTAACGTAATAAATAATCAGTTCTCAACTCTAGTTAAAAATAATCATGACCTATGAAATATTCTGGATATTAATATAAGGGTCATAATTATTATAGATAAATGCGTACAGTTCATTTTCTCTCAACTATATTAAAAAAGCATCATGGTAATAATAAGCTATTAATTTATTTTATATACACGGGTACGACGCCTAATCAGTACTCATTGGTAAATTCATACTAGCGCCGAGTTGAAGCGCATCGAAGCGAATTTCAGAAACTTAACAAAGCAAATTCAAAATACAACATAATGTACTTAATCCTTCAGAGATAAAAAGAAGACGCCGGGAATTCCACTGATTGATAATAATCAGCGGTATTCAGCTAAGAAGGAACATATACATTATGTTGCGGATATAAGGATGAATTTTTTATTTTACCGTTTCTGAAATTTGCTTCGATTCTGCGCTAGTATGAATTGGCTTTAACAGAATGGCTATGTTTTTTTGCGCTTTGACATACAGCAGTGCACAGAACGAAAACAAATATTTCTATAGTAACAAGCGTTTTTCTTCTAAATGATATCATAATAACATACCTACATAGATTAAATTAACGTGTAAATTATTTGAAGTATTGAACATAATATATTCTATAGTAACAAAATATATGTTATTTTTCAAGACTGTCCAATGATTAAATAATAAAGATATAATAATGAGTTGTTAAAAAAAAAATTTTTTATGGTTTTGTATATCAGTATTTTTTCTGTGTTTCGTTGTTAGTTTCTCTATTTATTTACAACGATATCTTCATTGAATGATATTAAAGGTAAAATAAAAATTAGCTAAATATATCGTGAAATTCACTAGCAATTGTCCATAATAATTAGCTTGTCTTGTTGCTTGCTTCATAGATTGTATATTTTGTACCAACGCACTGATTACATTATTGATTTAGCGTAGCGTTACAGATAAGCCTCCCACACACCTCCCTATTGTAAACTTCTTTGAAATTATTAAGTACGGCTTTTTAGTAGGTAGGCAGTCAAATGTTTTGTCAAATATTTAACAAATAAAGCCAACGAGATTGATAACGACATAGACAATTATTGTTAAAGAAATCTTTGTAAATTATGCAAATACTTTATTCATTATTTGTATAATAGTAGATTTGTGCACCATTTTGTTAAAAAAAATATAAGGAGTTAATAATTATGTAAATGTAGGATGTCGCAAATTAGAGTACATTTACCCTTTTGCATACTGTTTAAATGAACAAATTTGCATGTATATAACAAATTGCATTAGGTCTCGTTGGTTGTACATTTTCATACTTTTGAATTAAACCTACCTCTCTTTCCAAAATGTTTATTGTAATGAATTTTATTCACAGACATTAAATACCCCCACGGTGGATTGTTAAACGAACTTGGTATATTTAAATAAATATTTTAGGAAAATGATCGTGTCTTTTTCCATAGGCAAGTTAAATAAAACTCCAAAAAGTATAGTACAACAATATTTTTAATTACATACAATAAAAAAGAGCTTAAAGTGTATACATCATCTTGAACCAAAAATTAGCAAGTAAAACCAACCAGTGCGGTGACACTTTTCAAACCAGTTGGAAATCTAGTACCAGGCTTTGCTTGAACCGATAATACAGGAATTTACTGAATAAATGACCTGTGCTGTGCGGATGAGGGATTTTTCTTCGCGGAGAATCCTAATCCCTGTCGTGCTATTCTGTAATTTTCACACGTGGATTCATATCGAATTGAAAGTTTTATCTTTAAAAAAAAAAGAATTCCACTTACGAATAGTACGACAAAGAAATGAGTCACCAAATTTCTTTGTTCGTGTAGGAATAGTGGCCACAGTAAGTCGGTGGCAACGAAGGACAGCGCGCGTGGTCCTCTGAAGAAAAGGTGATGGAGGGATAAGGGAGAATAACTTCTCAGAACACTCGCCGTGGTATAGACGATAAAATGCGCTTAATGATGCCACATCACGGCGTAATTGTAGAGACTCGAGTTTCTTGGTTACCTCTTCATCGCCAATGAAACGGACAGCGCGCCGCTGCAACCTATCCAAGGCATCGAGTAAGTACTTAGCGGAGCCATCCCAGAGGTGCGAGCAATATTCCACGCAGGACCGCACTTGCGTTTTGTACAACAAGCACAGTTGATCGGGCGTGAAAAAACGCCGCACTTTGTTCAGGACTCAGAGTTTGCGTGAAGCTGTTTTGATCACGGTTTCGATGTAGTCCTTTGGATTCAGGTCTGAGCGAATTTCCATACCGAGCATGGTAACGTTGCGCTGTAGCGCCAGTGTTGTGCCCTGAAGAGAGGGAAGGGGAAGGAATGGCGATGTTTTTGCCGTGAAAGCGCAGGCCTGAGTTTTCTTGGCATTGAACTCAACCAAGTTGCTGGTACCCCATTCGGAAATGTGGTCCAAAGCCTGATTGAGTTCAGCGACAAGATTCTCCCGTTTCTCCCTGGTTTCTACCCGCCCAGCCGCTGCATGTCCAAAGTATCTCGCATGCACTGTACTATCGTCTGCATAGCAATGAATATTCGCAAGTGGAATCAAATCATTGATATGCAGCAGAAAGAGTGTAGGGGATAGAACGGAGCCCTGACGAACACCGGCATTCACTGACATGAACTGCGAACTACATCCGTCTGTAAGGACACGAATTCTACGTTCACGCAGGAAGTCAGCTACCCATTTATTCATTTTCATTTATTCATTTATTTATTGCATGTCACATAACATTCATGGTGGTACATTAATTTATGTAAAGTAAATATGTGACGCCCTGCAAGGGCATAGCAAATATCAAGCCAGAGGGCTTGTTAAATAATCTCTTATCTATTAGACAAGTCCGTCCGTCCGTCCGTGGTGCTGTTTCAGCGGCCAAACCGTAAGAGATAGATATAGAGAATGTTTAAGTTATAAGTTAAGATTAGTCTGATAAGACTACAAACCGGATGTGAGTAACGTAGCACTTACGGTTTTCGAGAAATCACGTGATTTCTATTTCAAACGAAACCACCAAAATCTCCAAATCTCCGAAGTTCTCAATTAATTAAATACATTTTTTTTTTGGTGAACATTTGGTTCACTGGTTTGCTAGTTATATTATAATACTTAGTTCACATTTCATTTTTACACAACAATTATATTTTATAAAATAGATTTAACAATTTCAATAAACAACAATAATAATAATTTAATTTTTACACAACAAACAATTCAATTTTATAAACTAGATTTATAACAATGTCAATAAGCAATAATAATAATAATGAAAATGTCAACTTTAAAAATTAATTACATTTGTCGTCAAAAAATTATTTTAAATTATAAAAACATTTTTGGATTAAATATGATTTTAATTGATTGTTGAATTTGGTTGATATTTCTACGTTCTTTATATTATTAGGTAGGTACATTATTATAGATTTTTATTGTCATAGCATGAGGACTATCCGAAACCAATCTTAATTTGCTGTATGGCACTTCTAATTTATTTAAATACCTATTATTTCTTTTAACACTTACTATTGGTGAATAAAATTCTGGGTGTTTTCTTACAAATTTACATGATTCAAGGATGAGTATGGATGCAAGGGTCAAAATTCTATGTTTAATGAAATAAGGTCTACATGATTCCATCTGATCGATGTTTGTCAAAATTCGTATGCATTTCTTTTGCATTATAAATAATTTGTCTACGTCAGATGAGCTTCCCCACAAAATTATACCATATGATAGTATTGAATGAGCATATGCATAGTAAGCAGTAAGAGCGGATCTAACTAAAATCAGTCACACGTTTTAATTGTTGAAGTGCATAAACAAAAGATGACATCTTTTTTAACAGCCTTTGTATGTGGCATTTCCAGTTTAAGTGTGCATCCAACTCTATACCCAGCAAAGTAGCAGTATTGACAACATCAATCTTTGTGTCTCTATAACTGTACGATATGTCTAGTGGCACTTTTTGGTAGGGTCCGAATTGAATGAGCTTAGTTTTGCTAAGATTGAGTTGCAAATTGTGTGATTCTAGCCAGTTCGTAATTTTATTAAGGGTAGAGTCTAGTTTAGATTGTAATTCTGAAGCACTTGAGCAAGATATTGAGATAGATATATCATCAGCAAACAGCACACACATCTCCTCCAGTACATTGGGTAGATTATTAATTTATGCAAGAAAAAAATTACACCCCAAAACGCTACCCTGCGGAATTGAACCAGTTACATGAATTAAATCAGATTTAGTATGTGTAATTTTACCTGTCTCAAAATCAGTATTTTCAATTTCCACGTATTGGTAACGATTTTCAAGATAAGATTTGAACCATTCATGAGGCAATCCCCTAATCCCCATTCCATATAATATATCCAGAACAGTTCTATAACTGACCCTGTCGTAGGCCTTGGTCATGTCTAGAAGAAGGCCCACCGCGTAATTCCTATTATTTATTTGTTGGTAGACGTCTTTTATAAATTTATAAACTGCTAGGATAGTGGAGTGATTTTTCCTAAAGCCATTTTGGCTTTCGTGCAAAATTTTAAACCTTTCTAAAAAAGAATAAAGCCGAACCGCCATAGCTGTCTCAAACACTTTGGATGAGGTCGTTAAGAGAGCCACTGGTCGATAATTATTAATATC